TCAAATTAGAGTGAGAAAAAAATATCACATGAGCAATTTCCATATACGTCACTCCTAAAACAATCAGAACCTCCATTTGTGAAAACATATGACCAATATAAAAACCATCAACGTGTTTAAAATAAATATGTATAAAATATGATTCTGGGTTGAGTTCTTAACACAGCATTTATTCCTCTAATTTGAAATAAAAATCATAAAAAAAGAATATCCAAGATTAAAAAGGAAAGAAGAATAAAATCTCTCAGCTCCTGTGAGTCAGGTGTCTGCTCTGGAGGCATCAACACCACCAGCACTAAGGATACTGACTCTTCTTCCTCTTCCTGTCCATAAAAATACCCAAGAGGATTCAACAGCCTCTGGGTCATGTTTTAGGGGTCACTGAGAATCAGGCTAACACCAAATTCCTTTCTCTCTTTTTATTCCATCTCTGAATCACTAGATTTCCTGTTCAACATAAAATTCTAAAATAAATATTGAAAATTTAAAAAAAAMCACAAACAGTATTAACCGAGTACTATAACTCAAGAAAATGATAAAGACTATTGAGTGCTTTCCAAAAACGTGTGAAAATTACCTTTTCTTCATTGCCATTTTTAACCCAACTTGTTAATTCTGCCTTTAAGCTCTCTTCGTATTTTCTAGCGTCCGACTTTTTAATGACTAATTTATTCTTAAAATGAATGAAATTCTCTGGACACAGTTTCTGGAAAACAAATACCACAACATTACATAAAATTATGCCAGAAAATCTAAAGATGTTTTCAACTTCTGTCTCATTGACAGCAAACCCAAGCTTTTGSGGGTAGGAGAGGTGAAGATCTTTTTATCTCCCTGTAGCTTCTAAAACATAAAACAAAGAGAATGCAAAAGCTCTTCAAAGGAAAGGGTTCAGAACAACAAAATCAAAGAAGGAAACAGCAAYTGGGACACAAGGAGGCAAGTGTTGTGAAAGACAACAGCAGACCAGAAATCCAAGGTATAGGAGGGGACCAAACATTGT